CTCGATTTAAATCATAATTAAAGAGCAACTGCCATCTCAGCTTGCAGAAGTCGGGTTCATTGAATGAGTTTACCAAAAATGTCAATATTGCAGAATATCCAGCCTTATGCTACATAACTCAGCTCCAGTTCACGCTGAATCAATTAAATTATTAATGCATCTTAAATAGAAAACCATCTTTAGATTGTTGTTTATTCCAAAAGCATCTTATTAAAATAAAATTGATAAAAATAAAAAAAAATCCGATTTAAATCAAAGAAATCCAATTTAAATTGAAAAAATCTGATTTTTTTTTTGAAAAAACATCAATTTTCATCCACCCTGGTATCCGCTGAACCCAATACAGGCGGTCCTCGACTTACAACAGTTCGCTTAGTAACCGAAGGTAGAACGGCACTGCAAAAGGGGGCTTACGACCGCTTCTCACCCTTTACGGCCGTTGCACTTTATGTTGTTTCCCCCCCCATCAAGTGATCAAAATTAAAGATGTTTGGCAACTGTTTCACACTTACGACGCGGAGGTCACGAGATCCTCCTTTTGCGATCGTCGAACCAGCAAAGTCCATGGGGAGAGGCCAGATCCACTTAACAGCCGTGTGACTATGGGATTCACTTAACAATGGTGGCAATGTAGGTCGTAAAGTGGGGCAAAACTAATTTAAATAAATGTCTCTCCTCAGCCACAGAAAGGCTCCCCTTGAGGCCGTATGTCGAGGACTTACCTGTAGATGCTGCTTCCCTCCCGACTCACCTGGGAAGGAGGAAAAAAGAGGCTCGCCTTCGGGAGCGAGTTCCGTTCCCCCCCCGCGCGCGCGTTTTGTCCGTTTCTAGTCTCCCCTTGGCGGGAGTTTCAAGTCCCCCCCCAAGTTTCTCAAAAGGTGGTTTCTAGTTCCCTCCCGTCCCGCGGTTCCCCTTCCCCTCACCTTCAGGCGGCCCAACAAGTCGCCGCATTTGCTCAAGCTGAGGTTCTTGCGGTTCCACTCGGCCCGCAGCTGCTCGTACATGCCCGCCGCTTCCTTCAGCCCGGCCGCGTCCGCCCCGTTCAGCACCGGGCCGCCGGCCGCCGCCATCATGGCCACCGCCGAAGCCATGAATCTGCACCCGGCGGGACCGTCGCGAAAGGGGGGGGGGAAAGGGGGGAGGAGCCTCCTGTTGGACACCGCGCTTTACGGCCGCGGCCGTCAAGGAAGCGTCTCCCTGGACAACCGCGGCGCGCAGAGACGGCGGGCCGGCTCGCGCTTGCCCCCCGATTGGCTGGAGGAATGTCTTCGGCTGAGGAATTTTGGCGCATGCGCCTTGCCGATTGGAACCGCTCGCGCCGGTTGAGGGGAGACAGTTTTGAGGGGGCGGGAGGATTAAACGGCGGTCCGGTCCGGTCCGGTCCGGTGGTTGAGGGGTGGGGCGGGAAAAGACGGGCCGGCTCCCCGCCTCCCTAAAGCAGAAAGCGTGGCAAGCGGCGGTGATTTTGGCGTCTCGGCGTCGAATTAACGAGGTCTCTTATTTCAGCTGGAGAGGACGGTGACGGTTGGTGACGTCACTGGGCACTGGTGACGTCATCGTGCCGGCTCTGGGGCTGCATACACGCGCACGGATACACTCGCACGGATACACTCACACCACTTTTATTAGCTTTACAAATAGCTCAAGGTGATGAACATACCCAATGCTTGCAATTTCTCCACAACAGCAACAACCCTGTGAGGTGGATTGTGCTGAGTGAGGGACTGGCCCAAAGTCAACCCAGCCGGCTTTCATGGCGGAGGCAGGACTTGAACTCGCCATCTCCCCCCACACCACCACCACCCCGCTTTCTAACCTGATGCCTTAATCCAAAACTGGCTCTACTCTGGGTGCCCTCAGCCTCGCTCTTCTTAAGACAGGCTCAAAAGTGTGATCAAATGGGGAGCAAGCTGGCCATAATGTTGATAATTTAATTTCCTGTTTAGGGTAACATTTTGAAAAGGGATGATGGAAATGAAAGTTGGAGCACCAGGTTGGCTTGCTTTCTGCTAGGTTTCATGGCATGTAAGCGATGCTCGAGCAGGGTACATCTGCAGGGTTGTCTGCGAGGGGGAGGGAGCTTCGTGGTACCCAAAGCAGAACATCCACGTTCAGTCATAAGTTGGTTCCACACAGCATCAACATTGTGAACTCTCAAGTTTCCTCTTTCCACCACGTATTCAAGGTGGACAGGGATATATATCTCATATATACAGCATATATATATGTATGTATGTATGTATGTGTGTATGTATGTATATGTTTTCTCAAGTTTACGCGGGTACTTACATGTATGGCATTCAGCTTTGTTCGGGTATAGTTGTGCTTTTAAAGTGGTAGCGACGTTTCGGCAGAATCTCATCTGCCATCATGGGAAAATGGGAAAATACCCAAACAAAGCTGAATACCATACATATAAATACCCACGAAAACTTAAGAAAACATTATATATATATGTATATGTATGTATGGGTGTACGTACGTATGCATGTATATAGCATGTGTACGTGTGTGTTATGTATGTGTATGCTTTTGAGAGCAGGCAGCAGTTTCATTTTTACATGCCAGTGTGGCCACAGTGAAAAATGACAACACTGTCTTGTCATGTCCTCTCCTCTCCACTCCTGTCCCTTGTCCTTCTCCTCCCCTCCCCTCCCCTCCTTTCCTTTCCCTTGTCCTCCTCTCCTCCCCTCCCCTCCTCTCCTTTCCTTTGTCCTTCTCCTCCCGTCTGCTGCCTTCCCCTCCTCTCCCTTCTCCTCTCTTCCCCATCTCATCTCATTTTATCTTTTGCAGGGAAGCACCCATGAAGTGGCAATCTTTTCTGCCCAACCTGCTTTGCCTCCTCCTCCAATTGAAGCTTTGCCTCTCAATTGGTGAATGCAAATGGTTAGCTGCACTCAGTGAAACTAAAAATATTGAAGGATTCATAGGCAGCTACATCTACCAGGAAGAACTTCGCAATGTTGCCGAGATCTTCAAGGATCTCAAAGATTCACCAATAGATCCCAATGATAAAGATGCAGTGAGTACTTCTTACCTCTGAGTAAGAAAGGAGAGCAGAAAGAGCTTTTGTTTCTAGACCCTGCAAGGATCCTGAGTAAAGCATGGAAGACTCAGGACACACCAATGGACTTGTTTTTACAAAACATATATCCGTTGCTAAGGAAGGCGTTTGGAAACTGACTTACGTCTGATTCTATCTATCTATCTATCTATCTATCTATCTATCTATCTATCTATCTATCTATCTA